AACGAGGTTTAGTTTAACTCGAAAGAGACAACGAGGTTTAGTTTAACTCAAAAGAGACAATTTGTCTTCCTTTTTCGTTTGTTTACATCTCTGTGATTTTACTTTGCAAGAAATGTTTTCCGAAAGATCGCATTGCTCACGCAATCCACTTATGCAAGGGTGTTTAGTTTTTATTTTTTTAAATCTAGTCCGGTCATCCATCTTTTATACAAATACATGAGAGGACTTTTGCGTAAATACATGAGAGTGTTTTGAGATTAAATTTTAGGAATCATCGTGATGTGATTTCACCTGTTCGAATTCAAACACGTAAAAAGAAAAAGAAAAAAAAACGGTGGCTTCATCCCATTCCTTTGGTCATACTCAAAGTATCCCACGTAAATATAGTCTGCAGTCTGTGACTTTTGGAAATAAGCCTCACAATCCCTCGTCCGGTTATGCTCTAACTAACGACCGTACGTAAGACTGTCAAGTTCAAAGCATATCACTCCCCTCTCATAGCTTTCTATGATCCATCTAATATATGAACAAATCGGCAGTTTTCTAGTGCTAGTTTGAACAGTAAGATTGCATAGAAATCTATAGGCGCTGCGTCCGGTGACTTGACTGGTATCGCTTTGCATGTAATAGCATGAATACCCGTCTCATTTTCCAGCTGCAAACTAAGATAAGCGGTGGGTGAACTGGAGGTATGATGGAAGCCTTATCATGGTCAACTCATACTTTGTTGGCCTCGTTTCCAAACGGAGATCCTTCTTGATTATGTTGTGGCACGTGGATAACTTACCATTGCATGACCTTTCTTTATACATGTATTCGTTACAAGACGCCATAGTTTGCTTACCACGGTTGTGGTACAACCTTTTGTAGGTGAGTTTCGGGTGATCATTTTCCTATTTTCATCCTTATTCCTTTGTTTGCCAATACCATTAATACTGGAGATATTTCCGTCTCGAAAATTTTAATAACCCGATCTGAACACATCGTTATGTTCTGAATGTATGGATATTTTACGTCAGAAAGAGCTGTTACATACCCATCCCAAAAGCGATCAATTTTCAGTCGCATCACAATATCTCAAAAAGTAGTTCTGTTACATGCTATTCCTCCGCAACTTTATATATATATATATATATATACTCTGGTTGTCACGTGACTTGCTGATTTGTATATTCAACATCGTTTTAATATAACGTTTTCAACTCTCTGTAGTTACACTTTACATTAATGATCAAAGGGTATGTTATTCTTCGTGAATATACTTTTGATAATTATAACTTAACTATATATATATATACAGTCTGTAATTTTGGGGGACAAGTGTTTGGTGCTTAATAATTTGATAAAGAATGAGTTTTTTTCTAATTTTCTAACATACGGTAAGCGTAAGAAAGTAAGATTGATAAACTTTGTGATGAAATAAACTAGGCTTAATTCTAAAATGTTTCAAAACCATATTACACTGCTTAGGTCTACTACCTAAATCACTTTTCTTGCAAACTAACACTGCATTTTTCTCTTTGAACAACACAAGATTAGTGATTTGAATAATGTCAGTAGGTAGGGTATTGCAAAGATCAGTGACCATCGTCCAAAATAGATGATGCTTGCCATTACTTAATCTGGAATATGCATGATCTGTAGTTTGAAAATGACGCAAACATATTGTACTTATTCTATGATAATTCTTGATACGTCCTGTACCATGTCCGAACTTTCCTGAAAAAAATTGTATGACCCAAAAATATCATTGAAAGCTGTTTGTTCAACATACACATGTAGCAAGTCAGCTGCTTATGGAAGAAAACTGCTAACCTACGATTTCTAGGGATCACATTGCAATAATAGTAATATGTTTGCAACTGATTCATGAGGTGGGAAACGAAGTATTATAATAAATATTAAAAACACGATAATACTAATTGCGGACGTTTCATATTTTCCTTAAATTCCATCATCGGCGTTAATTTCTCAAATAAATTAGTTTAAAATATTCGAATCACAAAAAACAAAATTGGCATTGAACGATTTCGTATTCAATCGGAAGTTTAGAAAGAACAGATTTAAACAGTAACAATATAATGGAATGTACGATAAAACGTGCGGTATACACGTGTTTGATAAATAACATTGTTAAAAGAAAATATTAAAGAGAAAGGCTCAAATATAAGTATAAACAATGTATTTTATAATAATAATAAACCTGTGGTTCCAAAGTCGAGAATTTTAGTTTTATATAAGTATGGGTTGGTTGTTATTCTCACTGTGCAATCATGTATTAAACGAGTGTGCTGACGATGGAATTTAAGGAAATTCCGAAACGTCCGTATTAAAGATGTTTTTAATATTTGTTACTTTAAGAAATAGTAGTTTTATTTACGAAAAACACAACACTGATTCGGTGGAAATCACTATATTTATTTTATCTTATATAAATGCTAACTGTGCTTACTGCTGGAATATATGTTATAAATTAAAAATTTTGTTAGTGTGGTGTACAACAATACGTAACAGCAGTTTCATGAAATTATGAGAGTTGTTTATAATATTATGAAATTTTTGGAATTTCTTACATTTGTAATAAAAAATCATCGCCTTATGAAATAGTAGAAAATACAGATTTTCGAATGGTTTCTTTATTTAGTATCTAATCAAAAACACCTTAGGTCTGAAAAAAAGGTGTGGCCAACAACAACAACAACAACAAGAAAAGATTGATTGTGCGATTTAAAGGAATGAAATAAAAACTGGCAGTGGAACTGGTTAGTACACTTACAGCATTTATAAAAATTTTGCAGCGAATATTCATTCATTAGTTTAGCCAGGCCGCGTTTTTTGTTCAATTTAAGGTATGATGGTTGTTAAAATAATGCTAATAAGTGTATCTACCAATTTGGCCGCCAATTTTGATTTCATTATTTTAAGTCGCACGCTGATTCTTTCTTTGGCTACACCTTTTTTTCACACTAAGGTGCTTTTGGTTAAATATCATGACTTTTTGTCAATACACACCACACCAAATATGAAAGTAATACTCGATAGCAACCAACTTACGATCGCAACCCGATTATTCGGAACAGATCTTTACTTTACAGAAACAACCAGATTCTTTAAAATATATACATTCGGTAACGCCGTATCAAGCATCATTATTTATGCTAATTGCTTAGGCTAATATCACGTGACGCCAAATGATCTTTAATTAAGACAATTTTATAAAATTTAGTAAATTTGTGCTGAAAGGATGGCAATGAATAATCAATAATAACCGTCCACCAGTATGATTCTTTTGAAAATTTGACTTAGAAACTGCTAATCTAGCCTGCTTGGTCTAACCAATACTTATTTATGTATCTGCACGTCCTTTCATCTTATAGTTTATACTCTAAATCAACTGTCTTTAATACGAATAACAAAAAACCAACAACTAAAAACGGTCCACTTATACTCTTAGATAAAGCTGTAGTAAAAATGTCAGACCGATAGCTTAAGACAAATTTGAGCTATTTTTGTTGAATAAATTCGCATATATGGCTTATATTTACACCAAATGAGACTCCTAATTATAAAGATCTATCTGAAAAAAAATCAATAAAAGTTAAGTATGTTTTTCTATCAAATAAAGTTTTACGTATTTTTGGTGTGAAGAAAAACTCAATCAAAATTGGAGATGTTATATCTCAGGTATTTCTTAATGGATTGCCTTGAAATCTGGTACGTGAAGTAAGAGTTTAGTAGAACACTTCCACTGAAAATAAGTGAGAGTTTAAATTATCAAAGTCCGAGATACAAAAGGTGGAAAACCACTTAACTATCACTCCTGTTAATAACACACAGTGTGTCTTGCAGCAGGTTGTTCTTTAGAATCAGTGTACTCAGGATAAATGTCTGTGACGTCACATTATTAGTGACAATGAAAACTTTGTAATCTAATTTTTTCCAAATACACATCACGAGTTTCACAAATACCCGCTAGGTGTATGATTAAAATATGGTGATTAATAAATGACCCACAGCACGGATCCAAAACGAATTTCATATTTGACTTAAGTAGCAACTAGAAGTTTTATTATTATATTAATTTTATGGGGGCATGCCCCAGACCCCCTAGATTGAGCTGCCTTTGGCAGCAGGGAAACAGCTCCACCCCACTTTGCAACTCCATCCTACACCACTGTTATACTTGCTTGGATGAAACTATCACTGTGTTTGTGAACGAGAAATAAGAAACAATTGAATGTAATATTATTGTTCTCACTGCTCATGCAGTCCGTTTATTCTGCAAAATATCAGAATGTATGATACAAGTCAGCGAACAAAGACAATAACAAAATGCTTAAATTAGGCCATTTTCAATTCGTTTGTGTGTTACAAAGCTATATTACAAGTTTCTGATGATTCTTGAGGTATTATTATTAAAAAATATTATTAATATTTCTAAAGAAAAATGTTTTCCCATATTTAATTGTACGATCTAATAATTAATATAAAATATACATTTTCATTTGCACCATTTAATAAAGACGTGCTTTAGTGGATTATTACAATAATAGAAACGATGGCCTGAAGTATCCATTTAATTATTCAGATTGAGTGAAATATCTACGTTAATGTAAACAAGGGAATCTGATTAATTCAAACGACTACTTTCAAAAATTATGCTTGTTTTAGGCACAATAGACTATATCAAAAGCAGTGACGTATTGACAAGAACATTATGTTCAGTACTTGATCCCAGTTGTTTAACTTAGTCTGACTTCAACTGACTCCTTCAATTCTTAGTTTACTTGAACGTAGATATTTCACTTAATCTGATTAATTCAAACGACTACTTCAGTCCCTTGTTTACATGAACGTAGATATTTCACTTAATCTGATTAATTCAAACGACTACTTCAGTCCCTTGTTTACATGAACGTAGATATTTCACTTAATCTGATTAATTCAAACGACTACTTCAGTCCCTTGTTTACATGAACGTAGATATTTCACTCCCTATTTTATTGATTGTATTACAGTAGAAAATTAACAAAGTTAAAGCACATTTCAAAACAAAATAACAAAACATAATAAGGTGGTAAACACTTTATCATGGTAATAAATACCGAGATAAATACAAGTTTATAAGAGCATTTATTTAACAATATCTTTGGCACAGTAATTCTGTGAATAAAACGGTCCAATTAATTACATAGGCCCTCTTTCAAAAATATATGTACATAGACTTCAATATGTAGTGCAAAAAAGTAAAAAAAAGGGGTAAGCAAGCCAAATACAAAGGGATTGTATAGAAAAGTCAATTGTAACTTTTATGAAGCAAAAAAAAATGTTCTCACCCATGGTGACAAAAATATTTTCTTGAAGAAGCTGTATTGAGTTCATTATCCACAACTAGATGCAATTATAGCTTATTAAAAAACAGACTATTCCTGAATATCTGTTTGTCGAATTATTTTTCGCACATCACCTTGTAGAAATCAATAGGCATACTTAGCGTGTGATATTTTCATATAATGGGTACTGTAGTACTGAAACTAGGCATACTTAGCGTGTGATATTTTCATATAATGGGTACTGTAGTACTGAAACTAATGTTTCAATTTTCCACGTCTACTATATCGTGCATATAAGAATCTGAATCTCCAGACAAACTTTCTCCTTGTTCTGTGTCTGGAATACTGGAGTTTAATGGAGAAGGGGCATCTTCCGTTTGATCAGGGATACCAAGAGTGTGAGTTAAGATGTGACGCCTAAGGTCGCAGTTCCGCCGAAATACTTTATTACAAGAACCGCAAGTGTAGGGTTTGATATCGGTGTGGGTAAGAAGGTGGGTCTTTAGGTTGCTCCTCTGATTGAAGCTACGCCCACAGGTGGAACACTTGTGTGGTGAATCTTCCATGTGAAGTATCCTGTGAACAGCTAGGGTCCGGGACTGGCAGAAGCCTTTTCCACACTCGGTGCACTTGAAAGGTTTTTCTTTGGAATGGATATATCTAAGAATTTTCAAAATAAAATTGGAAATACTTTTTAAATAAACCGAACCTGGTATGTTATTGATATATTTTATTATATTAACATTAACATTACCTGGTGTCACTCATATAAACACTTTTTTCAGAAATAGGACTAAGGAATTTATATCAAGACGTTTCGAAATGTTTTAAGGTTATGATTACGAACATTTTCTTATGACTTATATACTTATATACATAATACATAGGTCTCTATATTTTACAGTTAATGGTTTTAAACAAGTAAAAATGGTAAGACTAAAACTGCATGATTTTTTTCACAGTTTATGACTGATCGAACCTCTATTTCTTTCTTTTTTTTCAAATCAATAATCATAAACTCAAGTCTTTTCGTGTGTATCGTCAGTAAATCCAGAATCTTGGCTCAACCACATATCGCCCAATTAAGCTGCTGACCCGAAAAATTCCATACTAATCACGAACATTTCTCTGATCTTATCATAAACACTTTCTATTGTAGAATACTATGAACAATTAATCTTCTTTGGACACCATGGCCAAAAACTTTGGGCATTCTAATATTTATGATTATTACTATTTACGTCAAACATGTATTATTTACAGGACATGTCGTGCCAGACAGTCGATATGTCCAATATTTAGACCATGGTCTTGATAGTAAGAGAGAGAAAGACGAGCACACTGATGAGTTGAGTTAAAGGAAAGTTGGCCAATAATAGCGTAATATATATATAATACCATGTATGTCAGATAAATTATAAAAAAATAATTGGTAAGACTGTGATCACAAGAAAGTGTCAAACCTAATTTACTAGTGTTTGTATTATTATTTTGTTTCAAAAAATGTGAGTACTTTTCGTTAAAGTTGACCAATGTTGGTGTGACCTATGAAAACAAACGCTGAACTCTAGTTTATAAAACAAATGATATAAATCAACTTCGACTCCCATGATTACTTTTCAATTCCCATAAATCGGTTGTTACAATTAACGTCTGAGCTTGTACAAACCTCAGCAACCAATTATTTGCGTTATGTATTTAAACTCTTGACGACTTCCACAATTATAGTGCACGTATGTTTACAATAACAATTTGAGTATAATCTTTTTTATACTTACATTTGTAATGTTAGAAGTGAACCTTCTATTAAATTACCTCTATTTTCGAGTATAAATTTAAATGTTTATCATTCACAGATAACATTCCTGTTTACTGCATTAAAGTAATCCTTACGAAGAATGTAGATTGAAATTCAAGGAAATGAGATTGAACTTCCAAGCCTTTTTTTGTTGTTGTTGTTTGTTTGTTTCGTCTCGTTTCGTCTGGTAAATAGTTAGTTTTCAGATAAAGGGTGGCCCGGCATGGCCAGGTGGTTAAGGCACTCGACTTGCAATCTGAGGGTCTCGGGTTCGAATCCCCGTCATGCCAAACATGCTCGCCCTTTCAGCCGT